TATTTTTATTAACTAGTAGTAGTTTGTTTAAATAAATGGTAGTATTTTAAAATTTGGTATTTTAAATTTGATAGTTTTTTTAAAATTTGGTATTTTTATTAACTAGTAGTAGTTTGTTTAAATAAATGGTAGTATTTTAAAATTTGGTATTTTAAATTTGATAGTTTTTTAAAATTTGGTATTTTTACTAATTAGTAGTAGTTTGTTTAAATAAACAGTAGTTTTTTTTTTAATTTGATGTTTTTTAGTCATCAGAGAAAATTTTAATCATTAGAGAAAAGTTTAGTCACGAGGAAAGTTTTTTTTATCGTTCTTAGAGGCACTCGAATTTTGACAAAACTGCTACATGATTGGAAAAAGAGTTAACGTAGGGCTGTCATAGTGGAGGCTTCGTACTTTAAAACGAAGCCAATTGTTGTCTTTTTTTCTTTGAAGTTATATAACAGTTTAGATATTTCACCAAGTGTGCGAATACTTTCGTCCAGTTTAAGATGAGAAATGGTAACAAATTCGATCGTCACATGTCCCACATTGTTTATTATTTGAGTTCAACACGTCAATAATCATCTGCGTACGAAACGAAGGTGCAAGATTATATTATACGAAAGAAAAATAATTATTTTCGCTTATTGTTGGTGCATGCCGACGAGTATGTTCAATTTGGCCACGGAGTGCGGCGCGATTCGAACGACGATGCTGCCTTTACTTCTTCCCAAGACGTTTTCATTGATGCAAACTACTGCTTGGCTGTCTTCTACATTGTGGACGGTTACGAAGTTGATGACTCCTGTAAAAGAGACGTTACATGAATATTTTTCTTTCTTTTCCTTTCTCGTCAGTATCTCTTTTCGTAGCAACGATGATTTTTATCGATAATTTTATTCTGCAAACTCAAGAGCGCGAGAGATCCTTACCATTCATCTTCAAGTTCAGAGTATACAGCAGAATTATGTCGTGGGTGTTTTCTTTCGTAATCACTCTGTTGTAAGTTTCTTCACCCTCGACGTGTTTGCCAACGTCGAGGTTTCCGAGATGCACGGCAGCGTATGGCTCGATATAAGTACCCTGTTTTTTTTTTTTTTTAAGAAACGAGGAAATTGTAACCAAATTTTCTGCGAGAACGTTGTATAGAATGATTGTGTAGAAATCGTAAGTCAGTCTGTAATCGCAATTTTGTCAATGAACGACTAAACTAGTATGTAAAATATCAACAGCGGTTAGTCGTCCTCCGATCATAATTTTGAAAACACGGCGAAAGAATTAATTTGAATTTCGTTAATTTCGTGTGCCCTGACTTAAATTTGGAAAGGAACTACTACGTAAAGAATGAACAATAATGAATTTTGAATATACAGCGAGAAGGTTAATCGAATTTCGTGATTTCACTTCGTAAATTTGGAAAGAAAGCCTTCCGATCACTCACCGGTCTTGCTTGTACGAGATCTTCGTCGGTGAGTTCCAAGGTAACGGTTTCACGAGAATAATCAATAAGTGCAAAAGTGGCCTGCACTGCTAGGGCCACGAAGATGAAGACGGCAGCGATCGAACGAGACATTATTGCACGGTATTGTCACGGTAAACTGTAACTACATCATTCGGGAGATCTGCTCTTTTTATACTCTTTAGATTAGAAAGTTCGTCGAAATGCTCGTGACTTATCGAACAATTTGGCGATTTTATCTGCTTCTTTCTCGATATAAAAGTTATCGAGAAGAGCATCGCGTTTTAACTTCTAATTACATAATTGGAGCCAATTCGGTGAATATTATGACTCGACTGAGAATTAATTTCAGAAATAGCCGAGCTTCAGAGTTGCGAAATAAAATTTTCCAAACATTCCTGGTCGCTAGAGGAGCAATCGCGTCGTTACTCTGAAATATTCGATATACTGACGGTCGCATTCTGTGGTAATAATAACGCAAGGGTCAGTTGCATCGCGAATTTAGAATTTCATAAGTAACGTTACTCTGAAATTTCTCTTCAATTCTTTCTTTTCTTCTTGATGCAGCAAAGTTTGCATTGCGGCTTTGTATTTTACTTTTCTTAATATTCCATTTGATAATAATAGATGTCGGATATCAGGTTTTCAATCTCAAGAGAGGAAATTGAGTATGATAAACGAGATATCGTTTGTGAATAATTGATAATTCAAAGTGACTCAAATGAACGGTTGCTTCAAACGCAACATTATAAAATATTATTTGTGCTTTGAACAGTTATCTTTCCATAATTGGGTCATCATTCGGTAATGTAATCTTCTGATATATAGATCGATCAACACTGTGATCGAACTATTCCAAAAGAGAGACCGTTGAAAATTGCTTTTCATGCATGATGATTCTTTCTGTTATTACAAGTAACTCATTACTCGATGGTCACTTTAGATTAGATAAACGGACGAGACAAATAAAATAAGAAAGATTAGTCTCTTCTTCTTTTTTTAAAGATATCTGTGTATGTCTGTTTAAATACGTTAGACAAGTGGCTAACTGGCGGCCGTTACCCCCACTTATCTGATTGCTAGCGCTACCCCCTCCACTGCGTCGAGATAGAAAGTGGGGATAAAAGCTCGCGGGTTGCCAGTTAACCTCTGGCTCTGTGTTAGATAATTACCTATCGTCTGTTCTTTTATATCTCAAAATTAAAAAATTTTTAAACAGACGAAATTTCCTCTCCTGCAATTAAAAATAATTTAGATTTTTAAATTCGCTTATGCTAATTTCTAAACTTGTATTTAGATGTGATTGTGAATGAGTATTTCATCGGTTATATATTTAAGGAATTCGACTTATCAGAAGTGCTGAAGCAACTGCGTGACTGATTCGTTACGAGTGGAAGTTTCTATTCGTTCACAATGAAAGCTACAACTGTTTTCTGGAAACAATAGGAGTCATATTGAATTTACCAGGTTTCGTGACAGCACTTACGCGTGGCAAACTTGTTTCTACCAACAACAAGTTTTTGAAATGGAATAAAATTCAAATGTCCCTCTGATTGAGTTTTTCAGAATTGTGTTGTACTGTATTATCAATATAAATAAAGAATTAGAATGGGATCAGTCTGCGCTTTACCTCAGTATCAATCAGACAGAATCAGTATCAATCGCCTCTAAATCTAGAAGCAATTAAATTTTTCAAACCCATACAGCAAATGATAAATCACAGATATAACCAGTCAGATTTAACTTACGATCAAATATTTCCTAAAACGAATGAGTGATACTTAGGCAATTAGTATTATAATCCAGCTCGTGAGAAGCTGACACTTCTTGACGAAGATAACGCTTACGTTGAATTACGTGCAATTGGATTCAGCACGAAACTCTACCGAAAGATTGTGAAAAAAAAACGAAGGAAATGACAATGTTCACACGCCATCTATCGTCAATTAATCTAAACAAGTGTACGTACATCGATATGTCGATATTTTCATTCAACGTAAGTTGATGAAAGACAGGATATGAGTGAAATTGGTGATCTGGACTAATAATTCAATTAACGTACTCAGTCAGTTTTTTGATCAGCGTCTACTTACTACGTTTATTTATTCGAACAAAACATTCCATTTTTTGTTTTGGGGATATGATGGAAAATTATACAACAGAATGTAGTGAAGAGAATAGTTATTTTCATTAATGCGCTCCGATGATAACGATTAAGTTGAGGCGAGAGTTGGCTGGAATTCGGACGTTGAGGACGCTCTTATTTGATCCTAAGGTGTTTGCCGTGGCACATACAACCGATCCGCTGTTCCTTACGTTCTCGACATTTAAGACATTAATGATTCCTATGAAAAAAAGAAAACGAATACATTGAAAATATTTGCAACGATACAGACGTGGTTAAATTGCTACAACTTCAAAAAGCAAACGTGTTACACACAATCCAGTTGGATCTCATTTTAAAGTGTGAAGTCTTTACTTTGACTGGTCTGTGTTAACTTTTTTTCAAAAATGTTTTTTTTAATCATATAGCTAAGGAGGAAGCAACTTTCGTTCTCGAAGATTGTCCAACGCCTCTGAGATTTTTCTCGCAATTCTTTTCTCGTCACTTTTTCAAAGTGAAACGTCAGCTGTCAATTCAAGTTCAAACCTGTGCTCTTGGTTTGCAAGAGTAAAGATGCGTGTAGTGAGGAATCTTACCGCTATTTACATTCAGTGTCAATTCTAACGTCAATACCGAAGTCGAATCATTCTCGTATTCAGTTTCACCGACGTAAAATTGCTCGTCGCCTCGGAGTTCGCCGATAAAGAGGTCTCCGATGAATGAATTCTCACGTGGAGCAGCATAAGTTGCCTGTTAAAAAACAAAAGGTGTGAAAAGGAACGTTCGAAACCGAGTTGTATCACAAAAAGTCAGAAACGAATATAATTCTTTACTTTGACATTAACGGCTTCTAACAATATTAAAATATTAAATGACTGTCTATTCGAGCCATATTACAAAAAGTCAGAAACAAATATATGTCTTTATTTCGACATTGACGAGCTCTAACGATATTCAAATATTAACCCTCCGCCTACTGTGCCGGGGTCACAGTTTTGACCTGTGCTGGGAGCTGCTTGTGTTAGTGATCTGTGTGCCATGCGTTCACCAAATTACCGAAGTGACGACTACGAAAAAAATCAGTTTCTGGTAACGTTCTGAGGAAGAAATACGTGTGCGGCAAATCGAAGCAGTTTTTTATTTTAAAGTTTATTTTATATTTTAGTGTTTTCATTATTGTTTTAGTATTGTTTTAGTATTTTAGTATTTAGTATTTAATAGTTTGTATTATTTTTTTTTTTAGTATTTAGTATTTAGTATTTGATATTATTTTTGTGTTTACTATTTAGATTTTAGTTTTTAGCACTATTTTAATATTTTACTATTTTTATCATTAATTTACTGTTTTTATTATTATTTTTGTTCTTTTTCCGTTGTTCATTGCCAACGAGCAATCTTTCTTTGTCTTCTTTTGCTCAATCTGCACAAGACGTTCCTGACAGTGAATGACATAAATGTATAGTAAATATATATAACTTTATTATTCATGTGACTATTATTATTTGTTCCGTATACTCCTACATGTTCTTATAAGAGTCGGGTGTCTGTCACTGTGTTGGTACAATATTGGTGAGGACCTCGTCACTCTATACAGTATCGGTGAGCCGTCTGCATTATCCTAAATGCATTAGTGGGATATCCGTGTGGGTCAAAATGACCCCGGCACGGGATGCTGAGGTTCAGTAGTCAGAGGGTTAACTAACTGTCTCTTCGTTTTTTTTTTTTTTTCGACTGATTTGGTGTGATAAAAGCTTTATGATTCTTTAAAACAAAGCTTTGTAGGGGCAAGAGCATACGGACCGCCAGTTAGCCGGCTCTACTATAAAAACTTCGAAAATTTTACAAATTGCAACGTTCAAATCAGATTTTTTCGAACATCTTTCACTGAAGCGACGTTCGTGTTAAAATAAATCTAAGAGCAAAGAAATTGGATATTTTCTTCGAATTCTGTTGTGTCGAAAAAGAGAAAGAGAGAAGGAAGGGGGGGGAGATCTTAAAGCCACTTACCGGTCTCAGATCTTTCTCGGTGAGTTCCAAAGTGACAACTTTAGGTTTTGGAAAATCGATGGCAAAGATGGCCTGTGCCAGGACCACGATGAAGACAGTGACGATTAAACGAGACATTTTGTATCAGTGTCGAGAAGGTGTGAACAGCTCTTTTATATCCGAAATTGGAAATTTTCGCATCTTATCTAAATGCTTCTACGATTATTCTATTGACTAATCTCGAGTGTAGATAGAAAAAATGTTTCCTGGCATAATGTTACGCGTCATTCACGTATTTTTGCTATTATAATTTTGTGATTTTTATTTTTTGTACCTTCATTAATTTTATTATTATTACGTCACGATTATTATTGTTATATTTTATCGTGTATTGATGACTCATCATTATTGTTTTTGAACGAATTAGTTGAAGATACATTAGTTTGACAAATATAAAATATCATTTTCACGTGCTTACGATTTTTTAGTAGTTTGTTCAACAACATGTCTCAATTGATGTTTATCGAGTTTTTACGAAATAGATTAATCCATGATTGAAAGTGATAAAATCTTTTGATGTTTCCGTAGATTTTATGAGATAAAATAGTCCACGTGTAGAAAATTAATTAATTTTCAATATCTTTATCGAGTCAGCGTTCGCAAATCCGTGATTTACCGACGACTTATTCAGAACACTTTTGTTCAGATCGTATTCTATTTAAACGTATTGGATAGTTGTTTAGTTTCTTTTGAGAGAAAAATTTTTACGATTATTTTTACAAATTTTTACGATTATCACAGAATTGATCTTCCAATCAGAATGAAACCATCGACTGTTTTGGAAAATTTCTATTGCGAAAAGTTCGTATTTACGTCTGAAGATAAATGACATCCTGTATAGATAAATGTGTTAGATATACATTTCCTTTGAAAAGTTCATATACTTCATTCCACGTACAGATATCTCTATCGTATGATTGAAGTGCACAAAACGCGCGTAATTTAACACTTCGATTGTTCAATTGAAAGTGTCCAACGAGCAAAACTCGCAATCAAATGTTTAATGACACAAACGATCAGTAATCACTATCGCGCGACGTCATTTTAGTCAACTACGATGATTTAAAATTTATTTTCCAATCGAAGGAAAGAGGATCACTCTATCACAGTAAACTAGATAATTTATCCTTCAGTACTTTAGAAGCAAAAAAAAAAAAAAATTATCTTCAAACATCTATTTATTAATCAAACATAAAGAATTTTATTAAATATTAGATTAATGTGTTTTAATCATAGAAATATTAATTAACAAACTGTAGGAGTAAAGTCAGACTTTGGAATGAGGATAAGTTTAATTAATATATCTAGTCAACAATTTATTTCAATATTTTACAATAACTTAAATTTAAATTTATGCTGTCTGCTATCTATTTAATATATCGTGCAAATATAGTATGTGAAAAATCATTTATACGAGGAAATGATTATTTAATGTATAGTTTGATTAGTGAACGCGTTTTAAAGTGCCTAAAAGAATTAATTTTAACTTTCGAGAAGATTTACTGCCAGTTTAACATCATTTTCTGTCAGTTTAACTTGAACTGTAATCGCAGTATTTAACACTCAGGTATTTGGCATTTATTTTCAACAAATTTCTATTAAAAATTTTATAAAAATTTATATTAAAAATTTTTGGCGACTGCTTTGTTAGTTTCTATCTTGTCATTCCTTCTCACATCAAACTCGAGAAATATTAAGAACATAATAACTATGTCCCTCAATATCGATTGAAAATCATCGACGAGGTACTGAAAAGTGCAAAGCAATGATTCTTGTGTTTGATTGAGAGAAAAAAAAAACGTAAATTAACAAATTCGAATTGAAACAAAAGTAAAACGCACGATTTTACGCAAAAGGTGTTTATTACTTATTTTACATTCCACTGAAAGAAAGAAACGTCAATGTGCTGTGGTGCTCATTGGCGTACAATTGAAACGTGCTTCCTTCGTGCTTTTTCCCCGAAAGATATCTCTTAACGATGAAAGAAGAAAAAAAAGAGAGAGAGTATAGCGGCGAATCGATACGATGGTGTCTTCGTTTTAAAACTTGCGATTACGATCGTGCGCCGCAACAACCATGTTCAAAGTGGCCAAGGAATTTGGCGGTACTCGAAGACTAATGCTGGTTTTGCTTGCCCCTAGAGCGTTCGAGCTGCCACAGACAACTGCCTGACTGCCTTGTACGTTCCGGGCACTGATGTAATGAATCGCGCCTGTAAGAAAGGAAATCGCGTTATTTGCATAATGACACATACACACCGAAATTTTTTGAGTTTTTCAAATTTGACTGTCATGAACAAATATGCACACACTTACACACACATACACACACACACACGGAAGATTTAAAGCTTAAAGCTGAATGAAACTATACGGAAAACACGTAGTACGCAAAAATGTGATTTATATAAAATAATAATTTATATGAAAATATCGTTTATGTAATTTATGTGAAATATAACTTTCAATAGAATGCTCGTGACACTCGAAGATTTTTATTCTCGTAGTATGAACAAGGAACTTTACCGCTGGAGACGGACACGTCCAACGTTGTGCCCTGAACCGTGTTGGTCGGATTATTGAACTCGATCACTCGACGAAAAACTGTTTCGTCTGCGTAGCGCTGGCCGGCGATCAGATCCCCGATGAATACTGGCCCGCGTTCCTCAGGATAGGGACCCACCTAACGTACACGAAATGCTACAATTCTCGAACCAAAGGTTTCCTAGTGCTTCGCGCGAAAGTTTAAAAAATGACGGAGAGTGTTATTTCTCCAGAGATTGAAACTATGTGTCGTTAACTACTTGCGGTGGCAGCTGATTGCGGACCATAACGAGTGACCAAATAATTCGTACACAATAATTCGTCCCTTTCTTTTCGAACTGGATAGAAATTATTGAGAAGTAATAAGTTTGTTTATTTGCTTTGTCTGGGTTATGCTTAAATATACTTAAAACTGAGAGATTATTGCAATTTTGGGACAAAAAAGTTCTCGTGCACAGTATTCCCAGCGCAAGAGATTTTAACTCTTAGCACATTATACTGTTAGTATATTGCACTTGCTCCAACAAAGTACCTGCTTTAAACGATATCACACAGAAGAATATGATTAACGAAATTTCGTGTTTAAATGTCATTTGAATGATTATTTCCAATGCTACGTCATTCAATGCTCGGAGTGATGCTTCGCTAAATAAAATTGCTGGTAGAAAGTTCCTCGAGTTTCGCAAAATTTCGGTCAGATATTTGAATTCAATAGACCTAATAGAATTATTTTCATCGATTGCAACAAAAGAAAAAAGTCTCTCTGAAATAGAATGCGCTTGAACTTGACAAAGCTTGGCAGGCTGAACGACCATTTCGAGGTCACTCACCGATTTCGTTTGTTGGACGGCATCGTTGCTGGTGAATTCCACGCGTACGTTCTTGTCCTGCGAGACATCGATAGCGAACGCGGCCTGGTGCAGCGACAGGGCCACGATCAAGACACCGGCAATTGAACGGAACATTTTTCTATGGTTTCGCTGTGACTGTGACTGCGCCATCGGCGAACGTGCCACGTCTCTTTTATAGACCGGGCCGAAAGTCCGTCAAGGTGAACGTGACTTATCTGAACGGTTCTTTTGTGATTTCTCCATTGGCTCCTATCATACTGGCGGCTCTTCCCCCTGGAATACAAATAAGGGAAATGTCGCTGGGTACAATGCCACGTATGCGCGTTATTCGTCTCACGACGAGGCAGACCTTGAAGCGATGAATTTCCCCATTTTTTTTTTTTTTTTTTTTTCTTTACTTTCAACACGTAAAATGTCCACCCTGTACTGTATTGCAGGTACTTGCTGGAGCAAGTACAATGTCCTAACAGTATAATATGCTAAGAGTCAACCTCTTGCGCTGGAACGACGTGCACGTTGAGAATATTTTGTCTAAAAAAATTGCAATATTCTCTCAATTTTAAGTATATTTAAGTATAATCCAGGCGAAACAGATAATAAATTTATTACTTCTTAGTAATTTCTATCCAGTGATATACCGATGAATTCAAAAAACAGACGAACTATTGTGTATACGGTTTGGTCGCTCGTTATGGTCCGCAATCAGTTGCCAGCGCGAGTGGTTAACACGTTAAGTTGTTCACCTACGCGAGATCGCAGTACGATTACATCCAGCATGCCGAGTGTCAGAAAATTTTGCATAAATTGTTAAGAGGAAAATACAATACTGCTGAGAAGAAATATTAGTAGACCAAGTAAAGTTACAACATTCATATATGTAACCACATACTCGTGTTTGCCTGAACTCTTTTAATAGAACTCATTAAAATTATTATTGAATTATTACACTAAATTTACTGTTTACATAATAAATATCAATGAAAGCAATATTCTGCTACTATTCTTTCCTGTAGTTTTAAAGTTTTTCAACTTTTAACACATGCTTGCTAAATTTGCTTCGGAGGGTCACCAGTGACCGACACGGCACTTAATCTTAATATTAACCTGGCAACTGATTGCGGACCATAACGAGTGACCGAACCGTACACAATAATTAGTCGCTTCCTTTTTGACCTCGTCGGTATGATATCACTGGATAGAAGTTATTGAAAAGTACTAAATTTATTATTTGTTTTGCCTGTGTATTTGGTTTATACTTAGATATATTTTAAAACTGAGAAAATATTGCAATTTTGGGACAAAAAATTCGCGACGTGCGTTAGAGGTTAACCACTTGCGCTTGGCAACTGATTGCGGACCATAACGAGTGACCGAGCCGTACACAATAATTAGTCGCTTTCTTTTTGATCTCGTCGGTATGATATCACTGGATGGAAATCATTGAGAAGTAATAAATTTATTATCTGTTTTGCCTATTTTTTTTTTTTTTTTTTTTTTTTTTTTTTTTTACTCAAATATACTGAGAAAATATTACTTAAATAAACTGAGAGAATATTACAATTTTGGAAAAAGTTCTCGACGTGCGTGGCAAGAATTAGAATATTATTATTGTCAAAATTATATTGACCGCAGTGTGCCGACTTATTTATCCCAAAATAGATAAATTTGATTTTCATGACCAGGAAGATCGTTTCTTCGTTCATTTACGTCTTCGGACGGGGAGAGT